CACCATGTTGGAACCAATTCCAACATGTGGAGCTGTAAATTCACAGTAAACACTATTTATTATCTAAAGTTCTTTGGTAATTCGGCATAATTCGACATTGGAGCTTGCTCGACTGGAATTTCTTTAGAACAAGATAAAATAAGAGAAGTATTCGACACACATTCTTCAATACTGAATCATACTTCTTTTTGAATCATCCTGTACAATTTTATTTCTCAACGGACATTAAAAATCTTTTTTATTAACTCGTAAATTCGATAATGTTTCGTAATACATAGTTTCGCTTCTTTCTTTTTTAAAATCGATATAAAATCGGCACCGTACGGTTTCTTCTATCCAGTGAAGAGAAGTATTATAAAACGTTATCGTTGTAACTTCTTGTACAGAGTACCAATAAAAATGTACCTTAAAAAAAACTCAATTACTTCCTTCCTAAGTTTACCTATTACATAAGACAAGTAACTCCTCTCTTAAGTCGTAAATAAAAATGTGATTCTCTTCCAACATTCGATTCTTTGACGACACGATAATAAAATTCGAGATCAAAAGAGAAAGAAGGATTCTATATTCAATCGATAGTAATCCACAAAGGATTTACTATTCCGAAATCTAGTATATATATATATATAGAATAGTAGAATAGCAGTAGAAATCATAAGAATTCAAAGGAGCGCCCACACAAAAATTTAAAATATTTTGATCAATTAAAATAAACACGAGGATTGTATTGCGGATGGTCAGATAAACCACGTTTGCAATCAAAAATTTAAAAAAAAACAACGTTTTGAAGTTCGAACAAATAAATTTTAATGTGCGTGTGTTTGTGCCTGTGATGTCATTGGGGAGATCTTAAGACGCTGCTAGTTCTGTCCAATACAAAAGAGGACATCCAATACAACATAACATTCGTTCCCCAAACGCGAAAATGGTTTTCGAAACTTAATAAATCGAGCGAATCTTTGTATTATACTAAAGAGACTTGTCTGGAGACGTGTAAAATTGAACTCCCATATCTTTTAACAATGGAGGATTTTGCATATATATAAATCGTTTTAAAGAAAACGATTCTGTCTCTTTTTTCCGGGAAAATAAAAATAATTTTTTCTTTCTTTCTTTCTTTTCAATTCGCCTTCAATCAAAGTCGAAAATTTTAAATTACCACGTTCTTCAAATGCCCGCGTATTTCTCTATTGTGGATTTTGCGTGTTCCATCGATTTTTCTCTCGGGGTTTTACATTCGCTCCTGGCTAAGAAACGAATAAAAAGAAAGGTAAAAAAAAAATAATAATAATAGAAGAAATTCTACATATTCTATGCAGATCGAATTCGCGATAAATTTTTTGAACATGGAATTAGTGAGTTTATTTCCTTTCTAAGGAAAAGGGAAGTTACTCTTCCTTAGAAAAATTTTCTTTATAAATTGATGTCATTGTACTCCTTACTATTGACATAGTAAATATAGCACCTATACCTCGATATAGTCGAGTTTAATCTCTTATTTTACAAAATGAAACTAAGATAAATAACAGTCGGTTATAGATTGCTAAACGTAAATATTATAGAAATTCCTGGCAGGAAAACTTATCAGTTACTAAATTTCATGTATAATATATAAATTTATTTCTCAATTTCCTTTAAAATTATAATTAACTTTTCTTGAGTTATCGTCTAATAAAATAAATTTTTCATTTCAAATACAGTATTTATAAATATAATTATTTTAGAGCTTGTTAGCGCAGTAATAATACATTTTACAGTAGTATTGTACACCTGAAATATCACATATTTATGTAGCATATTAATTAATTTTATTTACTAAACATAATAAGAATGTATTAAGGGAATTAAATTCCCTTAATCCATGGGAAAGTTAAAGGAAAAATTAGTAACAGAGAATTTTCTAATAGCATCATTGATCTAGTTAACAAGATACAAAGTAATATTTTTATAATTATTGCAACAGAGGAAAAAAACAAACCCACAAATGTTGCTGATAATGGAAAACTGTTTCTAATAAGAAAATTAATCTAAAAATATCATTGGTTTCTGCTAATATAATAATAATAATATAACTAATAACAGAAGCAGAGATAAAAATAATGTTAGAAGCAAAGTGTGTGTGTGTGTGTACAGTACTGTACATTATGTTTGTACATACGTACTCTATCTGTACTTTAACCAATTGTGAGCCTATAAAATGTTTATATTTATATATAAAGTACATTTTATAGGATTTAAAATTATTATTAACAAAAAAAGAAATTCATCACAGCAAACTGAAAAGTATGCTTAGTAATAATGAAGTCATTAAAATATCCCTTTATTATAATCTCTATTATTAAAATATATAAATTATTATTTACCTTTTAAGAAAGAAAATTATATACTATGCCATTAAACGCTATTTTATAAAAACAAAAAGCTTTTTTTTTTTTTTTAAATCAATACAAAATATAGCTAAAAGCCGTAAAGATTTTCGATGTAATAAAACGAACTTTTTAAGAAAAGATTTATTTTAATAAGATAATAAATTTAATTTTGTTTTTATTTGCCAATCGGCTATTTAATTGCACTAAAATCAGAAACAAAAGGAAATATTTGATTTTAAAATTTTAAAGAGAATACAAATGTTATAAACATTTTTTGCAACAACTAATCTACAGATAAATTCTTCCATGGGACAAAAACACGTGGTGATTTAATATATTATTTTCGACTATATTTTGTTAAGCAGGATTTAAAAAAATAAATAAAAAATTGCATAGTCTTATTCACTTACTGCTTATTTTTCGGACGAGCTTAGAAAAATGCTGAAGGAAACTGTCGCTATTTAATTAAATTAGAAATAAGATTTAAAATGTAGAAAATCTTCTTATCTTCGCGGAAATCAATAAATTAACTTCGCCTGTGTATATTTTTTTTTAAAATAAAATAAAGCGTATGAAAGCATATAATAGATGAAATATATCATTCGGAAGGTAGACTTAAGTCAACATTGACGTCTCATTAAAGAGCTGAAATGCGCTAGAAATTCTTGTATTTTTCCAATTTTTCGATTAGTTTGCACAACCGGCGCGAGGATTTTTTGTGTGTGGAATGATGATCTGGGCGTAGGAATTCGTTTTTTCATCGCCATTTTTTTATTTTGCGTGTAACTTGCGTATACCGTGATGAATCGTTCTCGAAAATAACGTATCTGTAACGCGAAAACTCGCTCGAATTTTTCATAAAAACAAACAATCGCCAGATCTCCACTTAGATAAAACACGTAACCGGGCCAAGGTCCTTCGTAACTTTACTTTCATTATATATATATAAATGCATTATAAAGTTAAAAATTTTTAAATTTAAAAAAGTTACAACACAACCGAAACATTTATTGATTTTTTTTCTATTTTTTGAACGTTTTTTCATAGAACTAATGTTTTATTTATATTTTTAATATAATCATTAAGCAATTAGTTAAATACAAATTTAAATATTAACGAATTTGCATAAAATAACTCACCCAGATCATAAGTCGACATCTGTTAACGAGGATAACGATTTAAAATTTCATATTTCCGTTAACCAATCGAACCGGCGGCGATTAAATACACAAATCCGATTGGCCGAAACAATCACTTCGATAGTCTACTCTGTAAACGGGTCGGCTGTTGCAAATGCACGCGGTTTGAGAGTATACGCTTCCCTTTACGCCGGCGAGTAGTGGAACGAACCAATCGCCTGAGAGGGGTGAACGGCGGGTGACGTCGATTCGTCACGTGATCGCAGCGATTTAAATATATTCGAATGCCGATTTTGTTCGATAGTCAATAAAATTATTTTTGATTCGTTCACGCAATTATGATTTGTGTTTTGATCCATTAGAATAAATACCGCTTATGAATTTCGCTCGATAAATTCGATTTTAAGCGTTTTAATGAGTACTGTACTGTACATATATTGTTCGATTCATCACTTTTTGTAACTTTAAACTCTACGTAGACGTGAAAAGTGGGACTTGTGATAGATACCAAGTTAAATCTTGCCAATTTCTTCTCGATTTACTTAAACTGTGTCAAAAATTTGACATTAATTAATTTAAAAAAAAAAAAATGCTTAATCAAAATTCCTTTTTTTTAATCTCATATCTTACAGTAACAATACGAAAATGTTGGTAATTTGTGGGTTTGGTCAGGGTTTTGTGTTCACAAACTTCCAATTAGGAGAAATCTCGACTTATTAAGGAATTAAGTGTATTAGCAGAAGAAATTCCAAATCCCTTCCAGCAATTTAATCTTATAAAAAGATTCTAAATACAATTTATTACTAATTATCAAATAAAAAGTATTAAAAATAAATTTTTAACAGTTTTATGTTTTATGATAGAGATTCGAGAGTATGAAAATTTACAACCAATGAAAATCGTCCTTATATATGTATATATTTCTTAGAAGTTTAGTGGGCGTATCGGATAATTACTTTCGTATTCTATAAATAATAAATTTGAAACAATGACAGAATATAATTATTTTCTATTTTAAATTCTTGTATTTTTAATATTCATCTTTACATCAGAATTACTAAATTTTTTTTTAAATTAAAAATTTACATTTAAATTAAATTTACAACTGCCGATAGGGAGCGCTAAAAAAATAATAATAAATACAATATTTAAATTAATTTTAAATAGTCCGATTACAAATGTTCAAAAGAAATATCATAGATTAATGATAAATTTGTTATTTATTACTATATTAATAATACATTTACTATTTCGTTTGACGTACGGAAAAATAACAATACAATAGGGAATTCGTTGCTGATTGGCCAATTTAAAAATTTTAAAATTTAAATTGAAAATTTCTCAACTTTTTAAATATTTAATTATATTTATAGATTTTTTTTCATTGTATCGAAACAAATTTATTCTATCAAACAAAAAACCATTAAAAATTGCTTATATCAATTTAAATATGAATTTATTCTTATCCAGATGTATGATTCATTAAGCGTGTTGTATGTAAATATAAGGAAAAAATATACAAATACTGTAAATATCTTTATTCGTAAGAAATTCATAAATGCTGAAAAAGTCCTTATTCTTGCATTAAAAAAATGGAAATTTGCTCCACCCGAAACGACGAATCGCTTCAAAATCTTCAAGATACCGAACAATAGTTAAATGCCCTATCAGATATAATAGAAAATCAATTAAGTACACATTATTACATGTAAATAGCAGTTGATCCTTATTAAATCCTCACTAATATGTATAATGTATACATGTGTATACACGAATAATTACTCCGCTCAATGGAGTTAAAGAGTTTGTAAATACAGTTCCATATTTGCGAATTCAATCGATTGAACGAAATTATCGCCATTTCTCTTAATGTCAACGAAATGTAATGATGTAATTAAGAAAAAAAATCAAATTTTATGTTTAAAGACGTTTAAGTAGATTAGATTATTATACAACTTTAAAAATTAAGAATACAATTTAACGATATTCGATACTCGATTGTAATTTAATACTCTTGTAGTAGAATTTCGCTTGGTTTTTTCTTTTTTTTTTTTTTATCAAGAGATTAAATTCATTAGCTGCTGACAAATTAAGTTTTTATAATATTTTTGCTGTTACATAAACGATAAATATAACAATAATAAGGTTAAGAAGTTTATCAAATTTTTTAAAATACTGCTAAAGTAATTGATACACATAATAATTACAAATTGATATAAATTATAATTAATAAATTGTATGAATTAAATATTATTTCTATTTTTAATACCTGTATATTGAAAATAAACTTACTTCCACCCATTTTTTTGGTCTTCTTAATTATAAAATATCTTTAATTCCCTTTCATTTTTAACCAAATTGATCTGAAATATTAAAATTATATTATTATTATTATGCAAATTAATTTCATTGTATTAACAAGAAATTTTTTTAAAATATATTTAATGTATTTTTATAATAAAAATGAAAATAAAAAAACCAATTTAAATTTTTAAAATGTTTTTCGAATTCTATTTTATATTTACTTTATTTTAATCTTTATTTTGTATTAAAAATAAATAAATAAAATTCAATTTTTTTTTGTTTTTTCTTTTTTTGTTAATACTTAGAATATATAAGAGCATTATTTTCATATAATGCAATTCTTATATTTTATTTTGATATTTATATTTGAATTTTATACCATTCCAACTTGTAGATAATGAATGTCAAGCTATAATTTTTATATATATTTATATTCTAATATGCATAAATATTTATTTTATTTTCTTTAACCTCCCCTTCTTTTATTTTTATTTTACAAATCTATAACTTTTGATATTGTACACAACAATGTCATATTTTGTAAGTTGATCCGACAGAAAACATTTTTCTTTTGCCTTTTTTTCTTCTGAATTTTTCTGAAGTGTCCCCTGTTTACTTTGAGATTTCTCAGAGTTATCCTCTCGGACGTACTTCAGCGGTTATATATTTATACTTTACTTCTTGAGAAGCATATTTACTCACTTTAGAACTTTTGACGATAACCCAACGTTATAAAATAAAAATATATATATACAGTTCCTAGAAGTATTAACTTTACGGATCTCTTTAACTGTGTTAAAATATCATCCAAAGTGATCCTCCCAAATGATGCTAATGTTAAAACTGTCGTTTTCGGAGATTAATCTACGTTATAGCCATATTAATGTTTGACACAGTTAATATGATGGCTCTCTTTCATCAATCATTGAAAGAACACGAGTGCTGTCTGAAAACTTTCATGCTCCACTAAATTTATAGTAATAAAACCATTTGAAATAATCAAGGAAATGACAAAAGACTTGCTACGCTAGCTAAAACATGGAATCAAAATGATAAAAGATGGAGAAGAGAACTAAAATATAAACCGAAATATCGCAATATTTTATCGTAGCAGACGTATCTTACTTTCTCAATGTCGACATGATTAGGTCAACGTTTATTTATTAATTTCTTATAACAGGATATGTTTGATCAAACACACAAAACTTTGTTAGTGGGTACGTCAGAGACTAAAATGTTTAGATTTTGGTGTATAATGTTGATTAGATATGTTTTATTTATGAACTTTCGGTATAATCGAGTTAGAAAATGATGGATTGGACTGTTGCAATAAGGCAACACAACGCTTGCCTCCCAGGAGGACTTAAATAGGGTCCAGTTTTCTACATAAAGTGGCCCCTTATTTAGGTGTTAAACACGTGAAGTAACTAGGGTTGCCATCTGTCCGGGTTTGACCCAGAGACTCCGGGATTGAGTGAGTTATCTCCGGGTTCCGGGGTTAATTAATATTTCTCCGGGTTGTGCAAGTTGAAATTAATATGTACTGTACAAAATTATATGAAAACCATCGCATATATTTCTTCCCCCGTGTACCGAATTACTAGTGTGGTAGTCGTTGGCATAGGCACAGTGCTGCTTTTTTTTTTGCTTGTACGATTCATTCGTAATCATATACACCTCCAATATCCAATACAGCTAGGTCACTTGCGTTACTCCTATCCAAGTCTCCCTAGTCGCTAACTGTAACTGATTTAGAACCGGCATGCACTGCAAATTATTCTTCGCATTGCAAAATGACATTGCGCATGCGTCAGGAACTTCTGTGCGAACAAACCTCACCTGCCCTCCGGGTCAGCGATTTTGAAAAGGTGGCAACTCTAGAAGTAACCCTGGAAACTCCACGTGGCTAGTCCGTTGGTGAGGCGCGAATCCGTGATCAGTGTTTGGTGTTTTTATCCACTCGGCCACTCTTTGGCATGAAAACTAAGGATTTGATAATATTCCTCTTTATTATAAATTAAATCTAGATTTAATTGTAATATTTCACATCTGTAGAGGCTCCGGAAGAGTTAGTAGAACCACTGAGTATGGGGTCATTTAGTTCGGACCCTAGACTCAGCCTTCAAAATTTAGGTTTCTAAGAAACATGGCGCATAAATTAAAATTGCTTTAGATATCATTTTTAAATTATTAAAAAAAATTTCTTTAGTAATTCGAACACAAATCATTTATCGTATTCATTCGGACACTTGGCAAATCTCATCATTAAATTTTACAGTATTTACTTGATACGTGTTCATCGTATTTGTACACGTTTCGGGCATTTTGTACCCCTCCTCAGCCAACTAAAATACAAGTTTACAAGTTACAACAATATAATAAAACATATACATAAAGGTCATGTTTTTTAAAATATACCTTTAGATTACAGATCACTGAAAGTTAAAACCATAAAATTCCTTTGCACATTCAACATCTCGTTATCCATTAAATTACAGATCTTTGTAAGGTTTGAACCTTTAAAACTCCGTTACACATCTAAAAATTTTTTTATATTTAACTTCATGTTATCCAAAATAATTTTTACATTAATTATCCCTTATACATCTATTTTGATAATACAGTAATACCATAAATTACGTACAGTACCTAGTTATTAATTTTGAATCATTATAAAATTGAAATCATTTAAAATTTCATTAACCATTCAACGTTCTGTTATTTAAATTATTTTCCATACATTTATTATCACGTTTAAATCGATTTAATAATAATACCAGAATTCGCATACCCAATTATTAATCGTATTACGTCAAAATCGAAGCAGTCCTTCCATACAGTCACGTGACAAGTAGGCCACCTTGTGGCAGCATGTTGAAAATATTTAACATAGGAATATTTTAATGTATATTGAGCCAGTTTTCGTTTATTTTATTACTTAGGTTTTTATTTATAAATATATTACTTTTGATAATCTCTATGCTTTCTTTAAACTTTCTATGATATGTTTCTTTTTCTTTGTGGAGTATTTGTACGTTATCTTTATCAATTTTACAATCATTCAGAGTGCAATGATCGTCAAAGGCGGAATTTATTCTATTGTATTTCAAATCTGCTATATGTTCTTTTAATCTGATTTTTAACTTTCTTTTAATTTCTTCTATATAATATTTATTTTCGCTGCAAGTACAATGAATTTTATATATCACATTCTTAGTTTCAGTTGGTATTTGTTGTTGTTTTTTCTCAGTGTTGAGGTGTCTTGTATACATTTTTTAATATGACGGTACTACCTTAAAGTTTATATTCCTTGTTGCGTTATCAATTTGTTCGTATAGCGTAGAGATTATCAAAAGTAATATATGTATAAATAAAAACCTAAGTATTAAAATAAACGAAAACTGGCTCAATATATTATAAAAATATTCCTATGTTAAATATTTTCAACATGTTGCCACAAGGTGGCCTACTTGTCACGTGACTGTTTGTATGGAAGGACTTCTTCGATTTTGATGTAATACGAGTAATTGGGTATGCGAATTCTGGTACAGTAGACCCCCCCTACAACATGAATTCCATGTTGTGCGAGTCACTTAGATTTTACAAATATGTGTGCTCGGCTGTGAACGCCTCACGTATTTGTAAAATCTAAGTGAATCATACAACATGGAATTCATATAACACGGAATTATCTACAGTGTTATAGGGAGGTCTACTGTATTATTGTTAAATCGATTTAAACGTGATAATAAATGTATGGAAAATAATTTAAATAACAGAACGTTGAATGGTTAATGAAATTTTAAATGATTTCAATTTTATAATGATTCAAAATTAATAACTAGGTACTGTACGTAATTTATGGTATTACTGTATTATCAAAATAGATGTATAAGGGATAATTAATGTAAAAATTATTTTGGATAACATGAAGTTAAATATAAAAAAATTTTTAGATGTGTAACGGAGTTTTAAAGGTTCAAACCTTACAAAGATCTGTAATTTAATGGATAACGAGATGTTGAATGTGCAAAGGAATTTTATGGTTTTAACTTTCAGTGATCTGTAATCTAAAGGTATATTTTAAAAAACATGACCTTTATGTATATGTTTTATTATATTGTTGTAACTTGTAAACTTGTATTTTAGTTGGCTGAGGAGGGGTACAAAATGCCCGAAACGTGTACAAATACGATGAACACGTATCAAGTAAATACTGTAAAATTTAATGATGAGATTTGCCAAGTGTCCGAATGAATACGATAAATGATTTGTGTTCGAATTACTAAAGAAATTTTTTTTAATAATTTAAAAATGATATCTAAAGCAATTTTAATTTATGCGCCATGTTTCTTAGAAACCTAAATTTTGAAGGCTGAGTCTAGGGTCCGAACTAAATGACCCCATACTCAGTGGTTCTACTAACTCTTCCGGAGCCTCTACAGATGTGAAATATTACAATTAAATCTAGATTTAATTTATAATAAAGAGGAATATTATCAAATCCTTAGTTTTCATGCCAAAGAGTGGCCGAGTGGATAAAAACACCAAACACTGATCACGGATTCGCGCCTCACCAACGGACTAGCCACGTGGAGTTTCCAGGGTTACTTCTAGAGTTGCCACCTTTTCAAAATCGCTGACCCGGAGGGCAGGTGAGGTTTGTTCGCACAGAAGTTCCTGACGCATGCGCAATGTCATTTTGCAATGCGAAGAATAATTTGCAGTGCATGCCGGTTCTAAATCAGTTACAGTTAGCGACTAGGGAGACTTGGATAGGAGTAACGCAAGTGACCTAGCTGTATTGGATATTGGAGGTGTATATGATTACGAATGAATCGTACAAGCAAAAAAAAAGCAGCACTGTGCCTATGCCAACGACTACCACACTAGTAATTCGGTACACGGGGGAAGAAATATATGCGATGGTTTTCATATAATTTTGTACAGTACATATTAATTTCAACTTGCACAACCCGGAGAAATATTAATTAACCCCGGAACCCGGAGATAACTCACTCAATCCCGGAGTCTCTGGGTCAAACCCGGACAGATGGCA